CGTGTGCTCCATGCCCTCACTGGCTTGCAGGGCCCCGGGGTGGCCCCGGTGCTGCGCTGCACGCGGACACCCGCGGGCTTGTCGCTGCAGCTTCAGCGGCCTGCCGTCTTCGAGCGCGTCCTCGGCGCCGTGGCCTCCTACGCCACGCCGGGCAGACGGGCCTCGCCAGGCCCGCGCGTCCTCCTGCACTGCCCTGCGCTGCGCCGCAGCCCTGGCGCGCTCCACCTGAGCCAGCTGCGGGCCGTGGTCGTGGCGGATCACCTGGCGCGAGCTCTGCGCAGTCAAGGGTAAGCGCTGGCCGAGGCCTAGGTGGGAAGGGGCGGGACCTCGTGGGCAGGCGCAGAGGTTGGCAGCGCGGAGCTGCTGCACGGGCTGAGGCCATCCCCTCACTTTACAGGGTGTGTGTGCGCTTAGTTCCTGCAGTGCAGGACCCGCACATGTCAACCTTCCTGCAGAAACTGCGAGTGAACTGGCCCACTGCCTCGCAGAGCGCGTCGGCCGAAACCCTAAGAAACCTTGTGCTTGCGAAGCTCACCTCTGCTCATGACCAGGAGACACTGCCCCCCGGTGTCCTGGGCAGACTGGGCCTGAAGGAGCTGGTGGAAGAACAGGGCCACGGGGCTGGCTATGACCCCAACGTGGACAAGTGCCTGGGTGGGACTTGGGGCCGAGCAGAGCGGAACAGGGGGGTACCTCTGCCCACCCGGGCAGCCTCAGTATCTGTGTTCTCTCTGCAGTGACAGAGGATCTGCTGTCTGCGCTAGCTGAGCTGCAAGAGGCCGTTCGGCATTGGCCCGAGGGCACCTACCCAGGCCTGGTTAGTGACTCCCAGCCCTGCAGGCCTTTAGCAAAGCAGAGAGCCTGCATCTCTGCAGTGACCATCCTCTTCCCTCACAAGGCCGGGGCCCCAAATTCTGATGCAGACAGCTGCATGGTTGTGCACCTGGTGAGCTGTGAAGAGGAATTCCGGCAACAAAAGTTGGACCTGCTTTGGTGGAAATTGGACGACCAGGCTCCTCGAAGGCAGGTGGGTTATTATTGATGGTGGAGCTCCCTAACCTCGGAGGGCCCTCCTTCAAAACTTGAGAAAAGGCCGTTAGTTGGTGGATCCAGAAACTGACACTTGGCCTTACAGGAGACTGAATTACTGCACTGGCACGCCCAGCACGTACAAAGCCCTAGACCAGGTCTAAAGAATAGTGTTTTGAAGGGCAGGGCCTGCAGGGCACCAAGCCTGTGGAGTAGAGGCAGCAGGTTTGAGTTTCTTGGGATATTAAGGCTACAGGGCAGGGGCTGGGGATTTAGCTCAGTGGCACAGTGCCTGCCTGGCAAGCACAAGGTCGTGAGTTTGATTCCTGGTACCAGGAAAAAAAAAAAAGCTACAGGGCAACGAGTTGACACACACACACACACACACACACACACCCCGTCTTCCACAGAAGCACCTGGTCTGTGGCCCAGTGAAAGCCGCTGCTGCACCCGGCACCCTGAGCGCCCTGGAGTACTACGAGTGAGTGTGGCTAGAAGGCCACCCCAGCCAGGGTAGATGAGACGGGGCGGGGGTCTGTGCTGGGACTCTGCCCGCTGGCTCTCTTCACAAATGCAGGCTCCGGCACGCGCAGGTGTGCACCGCCTCAGCACTGAAGCACGGTGGCAGTCCGGCCCAAGGTGCGCCTGGGAGACCCCGGCTGCGCGCTGGAGTGGGGGCAGGTGATTTGCACCCCTGCTTCTTGCTCCTCGTGTGCAGAGACTGATGATATGTACTCACCCAGACCCGGCGTGGACGGAGACCTTAGAGGTTCTCACTGTGGCCACCATCAAGTTTGAGATGCTGAGCACAGCCCCCCAGGGTCAGGTGGGCCCGGGCACTGCCAGGACGGAGGGTGGGGCGGCAGGGCGGGCTGCCCTCTCTGAAGCGCCGCCTGCATTCCCCAGCTCGTCCTCGGGGACAGCAGCATCTCCACAAAGGGCACGAAGAGCGGCGTCTTCGTCATGTACAACTGCGCCCGTCTTGCCACGCTCTTTGAGGGTTACGAGCGCAACGTGGAACAAGGTCTGTACCCCGCTTTTCCGGCTGTGGAGAGCCTGGACTTCTCGCTGCTGCGCGATGAGGTGAGCGCCGCTCCTGGGGAGCTGGCACAGCCGGAGGCGTGGACTCCCCCTCCCAGCACCCCTGTCCCCTGCAGGGCGAGTGGCTGCTGCTCTTCAATAGCGTCCTTCCCTTCCCGGACCTGCTGAGCCAGACGGCAGGCCTGGCCTGCGCCGGCCCGGGGCGGCACATCGGTGCGCGCACAGAGACAGTGAGTCTCAGGACACCAGACAGACACAGCACATTTACTCCGGGCCAGAGACACAGCCAGTGACTCCGTCTCTGTCTCTAGGTATGCAAGTTCCTGGTACAGCTCAGCATGGACTTCAGTTCGTACTACAACCGGGTGCACGTCCTAGGGGTGAGTACACAGCAGAAGGGGCTATGGGGGGGCGGGGTGAGGGCAGGGGAAGCAGAGGCTGAGACGAGTAGGTCCCTTCTCCTTCAGGAGCCTCGGCCACACCTCTTTGGTCAGATGTTCGCCCGCCTGCAGCTCCTGAGGGCCGTCCGGGAGGTGCTCCACGCGGGCCTGGCTATGCTGGGCCTCCCTCCACTGAGCCACGTCTGAGGCCACAGAGAGCCCAATAACTAGGAACGTTTACGAAATCAACTAGGACGAGAAAACCAGACCCACACGCGTTAGCACCCTGGAACCGAAATAAATGGCTTCTGTTACAGTTGTGTCCGGCCTTGGGGAGCAGGGTGTCCCCTCCGTCTACCCAGGCAGCACTCTACTCACCTCGAGTCCTGCTCCGGGGTCAGGGACCCACGGCCACCGCCGCCTCCCCGAGAGACACGCTGGGTACAGGCGCAGACAGTCGGCCCCTTCCACTGCCCGCGCGCAGGCCCCGTACCCAGCACTCCGGCCGCCGTGGGACGCCTCAGTCATACCAGTTGTAAACCTCGAGCCCTTGGCCTGCAAGAGCACAGCGGTGGCCAAACTCGGGGCTCACAGCCCAGCAGTCCATGTCGGCCACGTCGGGCACGTGGTACACCGTGCTGTTCAGGAAGGCGGGCTCGCCGTGCCCCAGGCGCCAGAACGTCAGCCGCTGGTCAATGGAGGCCGAGACCATGAGGCTGGGGCTCAGGATCTTGAGGCCTGTCACGTGGGCAGCGTGTGCGCAGGGGACAGAGTATTCTTCTAGCACACGCAACTGGGGCACCAGCGCAGGCTCACCCACAGCTTCTTCCAGCTCTGGGGTCTCCACAGCTAGCACAAAGACATGGAGGGAGCCGTCCTCGCTGCCACTGGCCACAAGGTGGTGGCCCTCACGTGTGGGCAGGGTGTGCAGACTGTTGACGCCACAGCTGTGGGCCTGGAGTGTCATGCAGGGAGTGCCCAGCCCTAGAGGAAAAAGATGGCCTTTAGGGCCCTTGTGTGTGAGGGCAAAGAGGGGCAGCCCCGGACGCACCCTGGGTACGCACGGGAGGGAAGGCCAGGCTCTGCCGGGGGCTCCAGGAGAGCAGAGCCGTGGTCCAGCACAGTGGTAAGGTCCCAGAAGGCCAGGCTGCCGTCAGTAGCTGCACTGCACAAGAACAGCCGCCTGGGGGCGGGGTGGAGAAGTGATTAAGAGCGGTGGAGAGCAGGAGCCCCCGCCCACCCGGGCAGGACCACGGCCCAGCCCCTTTCTGCCCCCTCACCGCCGCTGGCTGGGTGCCTCGTGGGTAAACGAGTGGACCTTGAGGACACAGCGCTTATGGTGGAAAGTTTCAGCAAAGAGCTTCAGAATTCGCCCAGAGTCCTGCAAGACAAAGAGCCTGGGGGCCAGAGGAAGCCCGCTCAGAACTCCTGCATCACTCAGCACCCCGTCTCCAGCCCCGGGGCTCCAGTCCGCTTACCTCACTGCCCCGTCACTACAGGCTGCGGCCACAAGGGGGCCAAGGCCGGGCCCGTCCAGCTCACAGACAGCCAGGGACATGTACCTAAGAGGGCAGAGCTGTCAGGGCAGCCTGTAAACGGGGGCCGCCCGCCCGCAGTGATCCCACCTCGCGCCCCGGCCTGGGAGCACGCGTTACCTGGTCTCAGGGTCCACCTTGACCACCCGATGCCGATTGCGCTGCCGGTCCCAGCACTCATCGAGGCGGTGGGATGAGAGGTGCATGACGTGGCAGGCAAGGCCGCTTGGGGTGCCGGGGTCGGGACTGACCATGATGCTGAAGCAGTGCATCTCTGCTCGGCCCCCTGCGGACACTATGTTGGCAGTGAGACCTGGCTGGGGCTCACGAGGGCCGCCCGGGGCGCTGAGTCCCCACACAGCCACAGCCCGCACGGAAGAGAGATGGTTGCAGACAGCTGTGAGGGCATGGGCCGAGCCCGTGGTGGTGGGGAGCGCCAGCACGCACACAGTAGTGTCCTCGCTGCAGGTGATCAGGATGTCGGTCAGGCCGGGCCCCTCACTTCCAGGCTCCAGGTAGTCAGGCTGCTCCAAGCAGGGCACTTCAAACTCAGGCGCCATGGCCACGGCACCCACGCGTTTTACGCAGGTGATCTCCCGGCCATGCAGACCCTCGCGGAGGATCACGTGTGGCCGGGTACAGCCACCCAGAGCCTGGTACAGCATGACATCCCCATCCTTGAGGTAGGCAAAGGCCATGGCTGCTTCGGTATCGGAGAAGGCCCAGGAACGGTGCCCTCCGCCACAGCTGACAACGTGCAGCTTCTCATGTGACCGGGGGCTCCACACCACGAACTCATTGGCATGGAAGCCCAGGATCACCATGCTCCCATCAGGCACCATGTGAAGCCCAGCCACCCAGTTCATGCCCCGACAGGCCTTCTGCCGCAGGACTGGGTGGAGCTGGCCGCCTCGCACCAAGAGCTGGTAGTAGGCGCCGTCCCGCCCTGTGGTGTACACGTACCCAGCATGGCAGGTGACTGAGGTCACGCCCTGTTTCCCATGCAGAGAATGGAGGGCAGACACAGGGCTCCACTCAACCACAGCACTGCTGCCCCCACCAGTACCAGCACCCGCTTCCAGAGCCGGCAATGCAGCCTCAGCCTTGCCTCCCAGCCCAGGGTCCTGGAGCACTCCTGGCCTGGAAGGGAATAGCAGCACAGAGCCTCGGCGGTCTCCACACACCAGGAAGTCACCTGGGGGCACAAAGGCACTGCATGTGTGCCATCTCTGCTTGCTAGGGGGCAGCAGGTACCGGCAACGTTCTGTGACAAAGATGGCCTTGCCAGAGGGTGCAGCTGAGACCTCCAGGCAAGCCATCACGCCACCAGGGCCAGAGGCCAGCAACAGGAGCTCCTCGTAGCCACGCAGGGCCCAGCTCAGGCTCTGGACCTTCCCCGGGAACAGGGCATGGTCCACGGCAGCAGAGGGAGTGTTGATGGGGACAACCTTGACACAACCCTCCCCATTAGCCATGGCGCACAGTCCAAAGCCTTCGGGACCAGGAGCTGCCTCCAGCAGGCAGTAAGACTGGAAATGCTTATCCTCCAGCAGCTGCTCCCAACACTTGACCTCAAGGTCATAGAGGTACAGGACGCCTGTGTCAGTCACTGCCAGCAGTCGCCAGGAGCCAGCCAGTGTCACGGCTTTGAGGGTGCCTGGCCTGGCAGGGGACTTAAAGCACAGAGCTGAGACCCCTAGTCCCGGGCAGCCACGCCCTGCCAGGTGCCACAGCCGAATGCCTGAGTCATCACCCCCGGTGATAACCCAGGCCTGCCTCTCATGAGCAGCCAAGGCCCGGATCCCGCGGCCCTGGTGGCCCCGAAAGGCGTGGAGGATCTCACCTTCGTGACTCCACACCAAGCAGACACAGTCCTCCCCTGCACTGATAAGGTAATTCTCTAGCAGCTTCACCTGCCACACACGGGCGCTGTGCCCGAAGCAGTGCCCAATATTCTGCACCCGACCCCCAGGTACCCGCAGATCACCAACTTTCCAGATGCGAACACTTCGGTCTTCTGAAGCCGTTGCCAGCAAGCCCTTGCTTTCCAGGTAGGACATGCTGAAGATGACGCCCACATGCCCGCTGACCCGTCGGTCGGGTGCCACAGGCTTGTCGTCTGTCAGGGCAGCTGCTGGGTACCAGACTAGGAGCTGGTTGGAAATGGCGCCTGCCACAATGGTTAGCTCCTTCCAGGTGTCTCCGATCAGGCAGGCCGAGGACAGGGTGCACCTGTCGGTACAGGGCACATCCTGCAGCATGCACCCTACCACGGGGTCATAGAGCAGCACTGAGTTGTGACCCAGGGCCAGGGCCACATTGCCTTCAAGCCAGCGCACGTCCCAGATCCAGTCGGACATGCTCCACAGGCCAGAGCGCCAGAGCTCCCGGAAGCGGTTCTGACCCCAGCTAATCTTCACGATGCGGAGTCCCTTGCTTCCAAACACAGCTATCATGGCCTCTGAGTCCAGGTCTCCATTGGGCTCTGGCCGAACACGGAACCCATGGATAAGATAGTGGCCAAGCAGGTTCTGCACTCTCTTCATCATCCGAAGATGCCCACCGAAGTCCAAGCTGTACACCAGGACATCAGGCCCCTCACCTAGACAGAGCCAAAGAGCCACATCAGAACTGCTCAGCTGAGTCTGAGGACCCCCTAAGAAGAGGCAGGGTAGTGAGACTTCTCAGTATGTTGTCTACCGACGTATGTATCAAGATGCAACGTCCCACAGCTTGACCCTCAGAAAATCCTTGGTCTGAGGTGCAGTTGGACTTGTTTTGTTTGGAAACAGGGTCTCCTTATGTAGTTCAGGCTGGTCTTGAACTCACTGTGTAATCCAGGCTGACCTTGAACTTGCAGTGCTCCTCCTGCCTCAGCCTGCCTAGTGCTGGGATTACAGGCGTGTGCCACCACATCCGACCCAGCTGGACTTGCTTTCCCACTGCAACTTTCTGTGTCCTTCATCAATGACTTTTTTTCTGTACTGAGAACTGAACCCAAGGCCTTTTCACTGAGGTGTAGCTTCAACACTTTCACCTTTCTTTATCTTTTATTTTGAGACAGGGTCTTATTGGGTCACTAAATTGCCCATGGTAGGTTTGATCTTTTGATCCTCCCGCCCCAGGCTTCTAGAAAGCTGCGATTACAAGTGTGTGCCACCACACTCGGCCAAATGCATAGAGTGTAAGAATTGTAGCTGCCGGGTGTTATCCCAGCACTCCGGAAGCTGAGGCAGAAGAATCTCCATGAGTTTGAGGCCTGTCTGGGGTACACAGTGAGTTCAAGGCCAGCCTGAACAATAGAGCCTGTCAGACACTAAATACATACATAAATAAATAAATTTTAAAAATTGTAGCTATGGGCTCAGTCTATAGCTCTGGGATAGGTTTAGCATGCATGAGACTCTGGATTTAATACACAGCACCAGATGTGGGATCTGAGCTGGGGATGCAGCTCAGCGGCAGAGCACCCACCTGGCAAGTGTAAGGTTGTGAGTTCAGTTCCCAGAACCAAAACAACAACAACAAAAAACAGAGCACCACCAAAAAAAAAGTCAACAATGAAACATTAGAACTGAACCAAACTTGAACAAATGGACTTAGTAGATGTCTACAGAGTGTCCCCCTGCACAACATCACAATACACATTGTGGCTGCACATGGGACATTCTCCAAAAAAGATCACATACTAGCTCACGGAACATGCTTAAGTAAATGCAAAGGAAGCCAGGCGTGGTGGCACACCCCTGTAATCCCAGCTCTTGGGAGGCTGAGGTAGGAGGATCGTTGTGAGTTCAAGACCAGCCTGGGCTACATAGTGAGCTCAGGTTCAGGCTCATCCATGCATTTAGGAATGCAACAGGTGAAACCACAACTGATCCAGTAGAAATCCAGAAGACCATTTATACCTACTTTGAGATCTTGTATGTATGTATGTATGTATTTATTTATTTATTTTTGTCTTTTTGAGACAGAGTCTTGCTATGCAGTTCAGAATGGCCTTGAGCTCACTTTGTAGCTCACGCTGGTTTCAAACTTGCAATGATCCTCCTGCCTCAGCCGCCTGAGTGCTGGGATTACAGGCGTGTGCCACCATGCCCAACATGAGAATTTGTATTTAAATAAAATGGAAAATGCAGAAAAAATGGACAGATTCCTAGATATATATGACTTACTGAGCTGAATCAAGAAGATATAAAAATGTTAAACAAACCAACATCAATGTCCACTGTCAACACTCTTATTCAATATAGTTCTGGAAACTTTGGCCAGAGCAATTAGACAAGAAAAAGAAATAAAAACTCATGATAGGAAAGGAAGAAGTTAAATAATCATTATTTGTGGATGACATGATACCCTACATAGAAGACCCCAAAAACTCTAGAAAGACTTCCAGATTTAATAAGCAAGTTCAGTAGCATAGCTGGATACAAAGTCAACACTCCAAAATCAATAGCATTCCTGTACACAAATAACAAACTCACTGAGAGAGAAATTAGGGAAACAACACCTTTCACAATAGTATCCAAAAAATTGAAATACTTAGGAATCAGTCTAACAAAGGATGTAAAAGACCTCTACATTGAAAACTACAGTACTCTGAAAAAAAGGAGACTGAAGAGGATATCAGAAGACGGAATGAATGATACCCTTTGCTCCTGGGTAGGAAGAACCAATATAGTGAAAACAGCCATACTTCCAAAACTGTTATACAGATTTAATGCAATTCTGATCAAAATTCTAACAGCACATCTCACAGAATTAGAGAACACAATCCTAAAATTCATTTGAAACCAAAGAGACTTAGAAGAGCAAAGGCAATTTTGGACAACAAAGGCAAGGCAGAGCCAGGTGTGGTGGCGCATGCCTGTAATCCCAGCACTCTGGAGGCTGAGGCAGGAGGACCACTGCAAGCTTGAGACCAGCCTAGGCTACAAAGTGAGCACAAGGCCAGCCTGAACCGCATAGCAAGACCTTGTCTCAAAAAGACAAAAAAAAAAAAAAAAAAAAAAAGGCACGGCAGGGGTATCACAACCCCAGAGTTGAAACTATACTACAAAGCTACTATGATTAAAAACAGCATGATACTGGGGGAAAAAAAAAAATTAGACCTGAGGATTAACGGAACAGATTAGAAGATGCAGAAACTACTCCAGACATACTTAGCCACCTTATCTTTCACAAAGGTGCCAAACACATTCACTGGAAGAAAGATCGTCTCTTTAGTAAACAGTACTGGAAAAACTGACTTTGTACATGTTGAAGATTGAAACTAGACTCATAGCTTTCAGAATTCAGTAAATTAAAGTTAAAATGGATCAAAGATCCAATTTTTTTTTAAATTTTTTATTTTTCGTCTTTTTGAGATAGGGACTCACTATGCAGTTCAGGCTAGCCTCAAGCTTGCAACGATCCTTCTGCCTCAGCCTCCCAAGTGCTGGGATTACAGGCGTGCACCACCACACCTGGCATAATTTTTCTTCTTTTTTTTTTGGTACTGGGAATTGAACTCAGGAACTTGCACTTGCCAGGCAGGCGCTTATGCTGCTGAGCTATATCCCCAGCCCCAAAGATCCAAATATTAAAACAGAAATCAAGAACAGATAAAGAACTCAAAAATATCAGACCACTCCCCCAAATTTAAAGACCCAATCCACAAATGGGCATCTGAGATGAATACCCACTTCTCAGAGGAAGAAATACAAACAGCAAATAAATAGATGAGAAAATGTTCAACATCACTGGTCACTCAAGAGATGCAAATTAAAACAATGCTGAAATTCCATCTCACCTCGGAAAGAATGGCTATTATCAAGAAATCCACTAATAACAAATGCTGGCAGGGCTGTGGAGAAAAAGGAGCCCTCCTCCACTGTTGGTGGGAGTGCACACTGGTGCAACCACGTGGAAATCAGTGTGGGTATTTTTCAAAAAACTAGGACTAGAGCTTCCTTTCGACCCAGCTATTCCCCTTCTGGGTATCTTCCAGAAAGAATTAAAAGCATCATACCACAGCGATATATGCACATGCATGATTACAGCAGCACAGTTTGTAATAGTCAAATCTTGGAAACAACCCAAATGCCCACCAGCCGTGAATGGATAAAGAAGATGTGGGTTTTTTATACAATGGAGTACTCCTCAGCCATAAAGAAGGATAAGCTTGAGCCATTCCTAGGTAAATGGATGCACCTTGAGACCATACTCTTAAGTGAAATAAATCGGACACACATGTATAAATACTGCATTGTTTCTCTGCTGTGAGAAACCAAAAGTGTAAATAAGGACCAAAATGTATATTAGGTATTGTAAAACAGGAACAAAATGTTCAAAGGAGGAGGGGAACAAGAGAGCGGGGAGAGGGGAAAGGAAAGGGGAAAGTAAAGTGAGAAAAGAAGGAAAAAATGGGGGGTGAGGTTTTAGCTCAGCGGCAAAAGCGCCTGCCTGGCAAGCGGAAGGTCGTGAGTTCGGTTCCCGGTTCCGGAGAAAAACCAAAAAAAAAAAAGAAGGAAAAAATGGAAACAAAGCTTTTGTACATGGGGAGGGGAGAAGGCTTAAAGGGAGAGTAGGGGAATGGGAAAAAGAGAACCAAGTTATATCATGTATGGGTACAAACTCTCTATGATGCATGTGATCAGTATGTATATTTAAAATGTACCAATAGGGGCTGGGGATTTAGCTCAGCGGCAAAGCGCCTGCCTGGCAAGCGCAAGGTCGTGAGTTCGGTTCCCGGTACCGGA